AGTCCGGTTAGATTACTGCATCCCCTCAGGTTGCTGTGTCCAGTCCGGCTGCTGTGTCCGGTCAGGTTGCTGTGTCCGGTCTGGTTGCTGCGTCTTGCTCTTGTTGGTCACTCTCCCACCCAACAGTCTTGTAGCACCACCATCTTGGTCACCCGTCCCTCCCACGCCTCTGTACCATGGCCAGCTAGCGTCTTGCCTCAGGTCTCCCGCGGGTCTTTGAGTTGCTCTCTCGTTCGTCTGCACCACCGTGCACTCCTTGGATCGAGGGTCGGCTACGCGCCACTCCTCACTCCTCCTCCCTTCGTCCTGCCACCGCTCCCTTCCAGACCCTCCACTTAGACGTCTGGAGCCCATCCCCTCGTCTTGGACTTGAGTGGGAGAGCTATTTCCTCCAGGTACACCACGGTGTTTCCTCTCGCGAAGAAGTCCGATGTGACTTCTACGCTAATCCGGTGGCTCTTGGCCACTAAGGACACCGATGGTCGCCGTGTCCGTTGTCTCCACTCCGACCGTGGGGGTGAGTTCCGCTCTGACGTACTTGCCGGGTTCTGCGGCGAGCAGGGCATCAGACAGTTCTAGACGCTTCCAAAGTCCCCACAGCAGAATGGGTTTGCTGAGCACCGCATTGGCTTGGTCATGTAGATCGCCCGCACCTCCATTATACATGCACGTGCGCCCCATTTTCTGTGGCTCTACGTGGTTCGCTACTCCGCCCACCAGCTAAACCTCTGGCCTCGTGTCTCACAACCAGGGGCTTCATCGACTAGTCTTTGGACCGGGTCCACAGGTGTTGCATCGGAGTTTCACGCCTGGGGCTGCAGCTCTCAGCTCGCACCATCCCTTGCGTCTTCCTTGGTTTCCCATTGGACTCTCCTGACTTTTTTTTTACCACCCGCCCCTCCACCGTTTCCTCGACTCCCGTGACGTTCCTTTTGACGAGTCTGTATCCTACTACACCAGGGACTCCTGTCGAGGTCTCCCGGTCCCCCCCTCCTCCTCTTTTCCTCGCACTCTCTCCTCCTCCTGCTCCCGCTCCTCCAGTACCCCCGCCCTCCCCTGGTCCTGCCCCGTCAGGTCTGTCTCACGCTACCCTTCTACCCTCGATCGCGCATCAGGTAGTGTCTCCCTCCCCGCAGTCCTCCTCACAGTCCCCTCAACAGCCTTCGGCACTTCCGCGATAGGTTACTGTGGACTCAGGGGGTGTTAGAGCTGGAGGTGCTGCCACTGGCAGTTCTCGGTCTAGGGGGGGCTCTTTTGAGGGGTGCTGGAGCTAGAGGTGCAGGCAGTGGAGGTGCTAGTTTGGGGGTTGCTGGAGCTGGAGGTGCAGGCACTTGTGGTGCTAGTTCTGGGGGTGCTGGAGATGGAGGTGCTGGCACTGGAGGTGCTAGTTCTTGGGGTGCTAGAGCAGGAGGTACTTGCGATGGAGATGCTAGTTCTGAGGAGACTGAAGCTGGAGGCACTACTACTGTGCCTCTCCACCGCCACAACACACGTTTCCAGTCTCTTCGACAATGTGAGCGTGAGGAGCATGAGCGGTTGGAGCAGGAGAGGCACAAGCTGCAACAGTTGGACCAGGGGGAGCAGCAGGAGGAGCAGCAGCAACAGCAACAGCAGCAGCAGCAGCAGCAGCAGCAGCAGCAGCAGCAGAAGCAACGGGAGCAGCAGTAGGAGCAGCAGCCGCCGCAGCTGCCTCTTGTGCGGGAGTCGTTCCCACACGTGGGTGGCCTTCGGGCCCTTTGTCTTCCCTCCTCTTCTCCTATCCACTCTCAGTCTCCCCCTGTCGTGTCCGTCCCTGTCCTCTGCGTGCTCGTCCCTCCTCTCCCTCTAACAACCTCCGCACTGACCTCCTTTGTTCTAGTCGTCGCCGTTCTCCACCTGAGTCTGTTCTTCCGTCACCTCTTGAGCCGTCTCTCACTGTCTCCTTTACTCCTATCTCTGACTACTATCGTGCTGCTCGCCCTGTTGTCTCTCGTGTTCTTGCCTCTCTTGTCACTGACCGTCGTGCCTCTCCGTCATCAGTCTCTACTCTTACTGCCGCTGTCAGTGACTTCGCTACCACCTACCGCCTTGAGCTGGAGTTCATGGCAGCCGCTTCACCCTCTCTCTGTGCCATGCTGCTTTCTCCTGAGTGAGACCCCGACGCCCTTGACATACCGACTCCTCGCACGTACCGTGAGACAGTATCACGGGAGCCGGCATCTCAGTGTAAAGCGTCTATGGACTCGGAGTTGGCGTCTTTAAGATTCACATGCACCTACGTTGACGCAGTTCCCCCTCCCACGGCGAACGTTGTCGATGGTATGTGGCTCTTCAAGGTGAAGCGACCACATGGATCACCTCCTGTCTTCAAGGCGTGCTACGTGGCCAGGGGCCTCAGTCAGTGTGAGGGAGTTGACTTTATCCAGACCTTTGCCCCGACCCCAAAGATGACTACTCTCCGGGCTTTACTTCACGTAGCAGTACAGTGAGACTACGAACTTCACTCCCTCGACTTCTCCACTGCGTTTCTCCAGGGCCGCCTGCACGAGGAGATCTGGCTGTGACGTCCTCCTGGCTTCACTGACACCTTCCGACCTGGGACCTAGTAGAGCATGAGGCGGCCAGTCTACGGTCTCCGCTAGTCGCCCCGTGAGTGGCACGACTCTCTTCGCTCCACACTTTGTGACCTTGGATTTCGTTCCTCTTCTGCCGACCCGTCGCTCTTTGTTCGCACTGGTTCCACTCCATTCTTTATACTGGTCTACATCGATGGCCTGGTCTTTGCTACATCAAACAGGGCAGCTCTGGCTGAGGTGAAGTTCTAATTGCAGAAGAGACACACGTGCACTGACCTCGGTGAACTGCAGCGCTATCTTGGCTCGCATATCACCAGGGACAGAGACGCTCACACCATCACATTGACTCAAACACACATGGTGCAGTAGGACCTTCAGTGGTTCGGGTTTCAGTTCTCCACCACACAGCCCACCCCTCTAGCTGTTGACCACAAACTCACTGGCCCTTTTCTCGACAAGCCCTTTGAGTCCAGTGGTCCATACGCAGAGCTTGTGGGCTGCATCATGTACCTGATGACTTGTACTCGACCGAACCTCGCCTTTCCTCTCGGCGTCCTCTCTCGCCTTGTTGGGAATGGGAGACACCATCCTGTTCACTGAACGGCTGCTGTGAGGGTGGCAAAGTACCTGGCGACTACATCAGGCATGGGACTTGTGCTTGGAGGGGCAGAGCCAGTTGTGCTGACCGGTCACTGTAACTCTTCCTACCCCGATGACGTGGAGACTCCCTCTTGCGGGACTTTTGTTGTGGGGAGGGCATCCTCCAATCGTTCACGCTTCCGGCCTCCCCGCAGCAGAATGGGATTGCTGAGCGCCGCATTGGCTTAGTCATGGAGGTGGCTCGTACCTCCATGATCCATACGGCTGCTCCCCATTTTCTGTGGTCGTTTGCGGTCCGGTACCTCTGGCCCCGTGTCTCCTTGCCGGAGACCTTGCCTACACTGCGTTGGACGGGGGAGGTTGGCGATGCGTTGGTGTTCCGGGTCTGGGGCGTTCGTGCCTTTGTCCGCGATACCTCCACGGACAAGCTCTCCTCCCGCGCCATTTCTGTGTCTTCCTTGGCTTCCCACTGACGTGCCTGGCTGGCAGTTTTACCACCCCACCTCGTGCCGTGTTCTATCCTCTCAGAACGTCACGTTTGAGGAGTCGGGTCCCTTTTACCATCTCTTTGCCTACTGCACTGCCCCTCTCCCCCCCCCCCGTCGCTCTTCCTTACTCCAGGTCCCCCTCCGGTAGACCCCCTCCCCCCTCAGGGCCCTCCTCCTTCAGGTGCGTCTCGGGTAGATCCACTCCTCTTGGCTGAGCCTGTCAAGGTCACTAGCGACTCTGGTGCTGCTGGGGGTGGTGCTGAGCCTGGGGGTGCGGAGCCTGGGGTGTTGAGCCTGTGCGTGCGGAGCCTGGGGGTGCTAAGCTTGGGGGTGCTGAGTCTGAGGGTGCGGAGCCTGGGGGTGCTAGGCCTGAGGGTGCGGAGCCTGGGAGTGCTGAGTCGGGGGGTACCGAGTCTGGGGGTGCTGAGCCTATGGGTACTGCGTTTGCTGGAGGTCCTCTGGGTGCCTCATCATGGCGGTCTCGCCGTCGGGAGCCTCTCTCCCCACAGGAGCTGCGCGAGTGGTTTGCTTGGCGCACCCGCCTTCGGAGTCGCGCTGCTGGAACTGGAGGCCCCGCCACTGGAGGCACTGCTGCTGGAGGTGCTGGAGCTAGAGGCGCTGGAGGTGCTGGCGCTGGAGGTCCTGGGGGTGCTGGAGTTGCTGGTCCTGGAGGTGCTCGTACTGGAGGTCCTGGAGCGGCCGGGGCTGGTGGTGCTGCTGGAGCTAGAGGTGCTGCTGGTGCTCGCACTGCTGGTCCTGGAGGTGCTCGTACTAGAGGTACTGGAGCTGCCGGAGCTGGTGGTGCTGCAGGCAGTGGAGCTGGAGATCCTGGAGCTGGAGGCGCTAGAGCTGGAGACACTGGAGCTGGAGGCGCTGGAGCTGGAGACACTTGAGCTGGAGGCAGTGGAGCTGGAGGTGCTGGCACTGGAGGTGCTGGAGCTGGGGGCGCTGGAGCTGGAGGCACTGCAGCTGGAGGTGCTAGCGATGGAGGTGCTGGAGCTGGAGGCACTGGAGTTGGAGGCGCTGGAGCTAGAGGTTCTGGCGCTGGAGGTGCTGGAGCTGGAGGCACAGGAGCTGGAGACCCTGGAGCTGGAGGTGCTCGCGCTAGGGGTGCTGGAGCTGGCGGTACTGGTGCAGGAGGCACTGTGCAGCGGCGACCGTTTTTCGCTCCGCCGCAGTCGTCGTCTCTGCTGCCACCTGACTCAGTACTTCGCCAGTATCTTAGTCTCCTGTCTTCTACTGGCCTTACTCCTCCCCTTACTGTGTCCACCACCTGACCAGTCGCAGCCGCAGTTACAGCCAGCCTCCCCAATGCCTGCTCCTTCTCCTTACACTAAGCACACATACTCTCTTACAGAGCGTCGTGAGCCTGAGTCTCCTCCTGCCTTGCCTGTTTGCGCCATTCGCACTGGTCGCCGTGTTCCTCGTCAGCGCCCTCCTCTTGTCCCCAGCACGCACACTATGGCACTTCGTCCTTCCTCTGCTCCACAGCGTGTCCCTCTGCCGTCTCCTCCTGCGTCCTCTCTTGCTGACAATCCGGACCCTGAGTCTGACTTAGTTCGTGCTGCCAGTCCTAATGTCACACGTCTTCTAGCCATTGTTGTCACTGACCCTTCGTTTGAGTCCGTTGCTGCGTCTGCCCTAGTTGCTAAGCTTGTTGAATTTGCCGCCACCTGTCGTCCCGACTACGCCGCTAGTCTTGTTGCTGGGTCTGCATCTGACTGTCCTCTGTCCGTCGGAGGTGAGTGTGCTCTTGGCACGGACGTCCTTGAGGACAGGCAAGAGGACTTTGAGTGTCTTGCAACTGCTGTACCTCATCTCGTGGCCATGCTGCTTGCACCTGAGGGAGACCCGGATGCACCAGACATCCCGACCCCGCACTCTTACGCAGAGGCGATTACAAGTCCCTACTCCTCTTAGTGGCAAATAGCCATGGATGCAGAGATGGCATCCTGGAAGTCCACACGCACTTACATCGACGCAGTTCCCCCTCCTGGGGCGAACATAGTCGATGGCATGTGGATTTTCAGGGTGAAGCTGCCGCCGGGTTCTCCGCCTGTCTTCAAGGCTCTTTACGTTGCACGAGGCTTTAGTCAGCGACAGGGAGTTGACTTCTTCGAGACTTTCTCCCCTATGCCGCCCACCTGGCTTCACAGGGTCGTTTCCTGCAGGTACCCAATGGAGCCTCCTGTGGCCAGTCTAAGGTCTCCGCTAGGCGCCTCGCGAGTGGCACGACACACTGAGGACCACGCTTGCGGCTCTTGGGTTTGCTCCTTTGACTGCTGACCTGTCGCTATTTCTGCGCACCGACACTTCACTGCCGCCGTTCTACATCCTCGTGTACATCGACGACTTGGTTTTTGCCACTGCTAACACTGAGGCACTGGCCCTTGTGAAGTTGGAGTTGCAGAAGAGACACACTTGCACTGACCTGGGTGAGCTGTGGGGATATCTTGGTTTGCAGATCACCCGAGACAGAACATGGCGCAGTCGCACATGGTGCACCAGGTCCTTCAGCGCTTCGGCTTCCGGTACTCCTCGCCACAGTCCACTCCTCTGCCTACCAGTCACTCGCTCTCAGCTCCACCTTCTGACAAGTCCGTAGAGCCGAGTGGCCCATATCCAGAGCTTGTGGGCTGCCTCATGTACCTGATGACCTGCACTCGACCTGACCTTGCCTACCCTCTTAGCATCCTGGCACGCTACGTTGCGCCCGAGAGATACCGACCAGAGCACATGGAGGTCGCTAAGAGGGTGTTGCGCTACTTGTGCAGTACGTCACGCATGGGGTTCGCGCTTGGAGGACGGGGTCGAGTTGTTCTCACACATGGGGCTCGTGCTTGGAGGACTGGGTCGAGTTGTCCTCACTGGATACGCAGACGCGCAGGGCCCGTGCTAGGATTTGGGGCACCCTGAGCCCTCAGGGCACTTTTCTAGAATCTTAAAAAATGCCCTGACTTGTTAGGGCAAAATTTCAAAGCCTTCTTGTATGTTCAGGGCTTTTGCAGAAACTAATCTTGACCTGTCAGGGCAAAAAAAATAGTGTTCAGGGTTCAGATTTTAGCACAGACCAGACCAGAATCTAGCATAGCAGAGCAGCCGCAGCGCACATATAGTTGGTGTTTTACTACTCAATTAACTCCTACACCACCTCTTAGCCCTCCTCCTCCTCACCATCATCATCGCTGCTGCTAATAAACCCACTGTCGCTGCTGCTGCCGCTGCCATGTTCAGTATCTGCTTCTTTTTCGTCCTCCAAGACGGTCCCCTTCCCCACCTTCCTCTGCTTCTCCCTTCTCTTAATAGGCCTCCTCTTCTTGCTGCTGCGCCACAAATCCACAACTTTACCCCATTCCATGTCATATTCAACCAGGCTCAGGCACATCAGGTCACTGAGCCTAGCATCACAGAGGCTGGTCCTTTTCCAGGACTTAATCGCGTTCTGGCAGCTAAAGTCGCGCTCACACTCGACGGTGCTGAGCGGCAGGACAGCCACCGCTGTTCAGAGGCGGACGAGGTTGGGGTAGCTCCGCTCCCAGTCCTTCGTTCGCAGCATGGCCCCCAGTCCGCGTTGAAATGTGCGCTCGCCTTTGGGAGCGCCAGCCAGAAGAGGGACAAATGTCCTTAGTTCCTTCTTGGCAGCAAGCTTGTCCACACCTGCCACGCATTACACACATAACAGTGACAGAAGAAGGCGGATTCTGGTTATACACACGGCAGGGACGGAACATGGAATTTTCTGGCTATACACAGAGCAGGGACAGAACACGGAGTTCGTTGGTTATACACAGAGCAGGGGCAGAACAAGTCAGATTGCTGGATATATACAGATCAGGAATAGAACAAGTCAGATTGCAGAATATACACAGAGCAGGGACAGAACTTGGCAGATTGTGGACATAGGACAAAATGGGTAAGACAATCTACTTGTGCTTACCCGGGAGAATGTCTGCTCGCTCGTGGGCATTGAACAAGTCAACGAGAGTCTTGAAGTGCTCGCGGCACTCCTCAGCGCGTCCCTCCTTGTCTTCAGGGTACGTGTCTGGCATAAAAAGCCGGACAACGTTCAGGCTTTTGAGATCCCCCAGCCTCTTCTGGAGGTGGGTGAGCGTCGAATTGGCGTGGCGGCGGCAGACGTCAAGGCACGACTGCAAGTCATCCGGGGTCTTGCTGTAGCCTGTCAATGCCTCCTCGTGCAGCTCAAAGCTATATTGTCGCTTCTCCCCCTCCTTGTCCACACCTGCCACAGTGATTTTCGGAGACTTACTCCGAGATGTAGCTGTGGGCCGCCACCGAAGTCATCGCAGCACTCAATGTAGCCCGTACGGATGGTGATCAGGGTGCGGCGCACGATCGACTGCACCGATGTCATGTCGACCAGCAACATGACAAGGTATAGTTTCAACAAGGACCATACAAACAACAATGATAAGGGTCTCGGGCTTACAAAGGCTACTCACCTCCCGCCTATGAAACTCCAGGTTGAGGTTGTTGAGGATGTTGAGCATGTCGGCGAGGTAATAAAGATACACATTGAACTTCACTGAAGTCAAAATGTGGTAGAAGTCGTCGTCCCACTCCCACAGGAGCACGATGACGGCAGGGAGCACACGCACCAAGCGCGTGATGGCATCGCCGCGGCTCAGCCAACGAGCTGAGTGAATTCCCTACAGTTCAAGGTTTGTCTTGCAGAATACCTCCTGCAGCTCTTTGAACTCATTGTGAGAGGGATGCGACCTTCCCAGGTATTCCGCGAGTTCCTTCAGTACATAGTCGATTAGGCCCAGCTTAGGGACTGCAGCGGCGGCGTCCTTGGCTGCCATCGCCTCTCTGCACGACATGATGTGGGCACGAGAGAAGGGGAGGTTTGGTTTAAGGAGGGAGGAGTTGCATCGACTGTTTTTGCGGGCCGTTGCTGTCCGTCCACGAGGAGAATATGCAGCAGATCACCGTCACGTCTGGAGCGGGGAGGGAGGGGGGGGAGAGAGGAAAGTAGGGGGGAAACAGAAAGGGTGGGGAATGGAATGAGCTTTAGATCATGTGAGTGCCTGCCTGCCTTACACTTTCTGCGCAATGTGATGGGCATTTAGATACAACACTCGCAGGCAATAAGTATTGCTCACCGATGTGCAACGCAATGGCTGGAGAAGAGGTGCGGGACCATTACACGCAGTCGAGCCACCAGGCCGTTTGTGCTACCCATCATTGCACCTGCGCCATCCGTGCTAATCCCGGCCACCCCGCTCATGTCGATTCCAAGAGAGTCAAGGAGGGTCAGCAACAGGGGAAGCAACGAAGCGCCATCCCATTTCTCCACCGTCAGTAGACCGATGAACTCCGTGACTACACGAGAGTCACGGAGAAACGTGGCAAATAGGATTTGGAGTTTACCATGCACACGATCTGTACTCTCGTCACAGGTTAGTCTGATGAATGGACTAGACAGCGACCAGACTTGCTGACGAGCACGGAGATATGCTGCAGTGCTTGCGATGAGCTCGGCAGACCCGTATTTGCATCAAACAGAAAAAGGTACTGAGGGTTAGCAGGTTGTGCACAACCTCGGTACTAAGGTTCTCGGGTATAGCAGCTATTGTTGATCAACGGCTCACCTGGTGTAATATGCACCATAGCCATTCTTGGGGAAGCCTGGTGTCTGTCGCTCTGCAAGGTGCCGAACAAATTGAACCCACATCTCAATCGGTGCGTCACATTTGCAGATGAACAGCAGGGTCTCCAGAAAAGTGATGACCCTTACACGCTGGATGTCTCCAGCCTTTGGACAGTCGATGATGCGCTGCTGCTTCTCAGCCGCCTGCTCCGCCAAGGCCTGTCTCTTGATGGACCGTTTGTGCTTCTTGGAGCTTTGACGCGTGCGGAACGCCTGGGTTTGGACGTCGACAGCACCTTCGCTAGCAGCGCCGTAGTTTGTGCCGTGTCCTGCGTGCTTGGTACACAAACTGCACCTCACTGATGGGAAACCGAAGGAAGTTTGACAAAGCACGAGCCACGGGAAATCAGTTGACCATTCCCGTTTGTACTTCATAAGCGCCTCCTGGTATTTATCCTCTGCCTCATCGTGCAGTTCCTTAGTAGATAAAGATGCTGCAGGAACGGCCAATGGTCCTGGTAGAGCTGGCTCTAAGCGGATACGTACGGTGGGTTCCGTAGGACTATCGCGAGAGAACGACAAGCGCGACTATTTGTGCTTGGTCGCTCTTAATTTAGCAGTAGCGGCAGGGCCGATGCGTGTTGCACCAAGTGGTACAACGTTGGTGCCGTTCGTACTAGCACAGGCGGCTGTGACTACGGGAGTTCGAGATGAACCAGCTATAGGTGAGGGTGTTGGTAACGTGGACACAGCTCGAACAGGATGCAAGAAGTCTAATCTGGTTAGACCCCGTGATACTGGCGTGTCGCCATCGCCCTCATTGGCCATGACTAGTCCGACTGAGCCAGCCGAGCTTCACTTGTGCTACTCTAACAGAAACACTGGAAGAGTGTTGGTTGGATAGAGGAGTGCTCAACGTCAGTGAGAGAGACACCCAGCTAGTGCATGCATGGCACACGACGAGTTCCCAGTCTGATGGGTTTGGCTTGGCTGGTGCGTTGCGGGGAATCGGAACAGAACTGTAAAGACATCGTGCGAAGGCGGGAAACATACACGGGGAAAACTCCTCGGGAACGGGACCCCCCCCCCCGCCCCCCCCCTCCCCCCCCTTCCCACCTAAGAAAACGCGTCAGGGCAGGCCTCGAAATTCATCCTGACGCTACAGGGGGGAACACTACGGCCATCCTGAGTGTTCAGGGCATTTTATATAAAGACATCTTGAGACCTCAGGGTGAAAATTGACACTATTTTGAAATGACAGGGTAAATTCAAAACTGCATCCTGAATTCAGGGTAATCGGGATGTTTTGCCCTGATAACGTGGGCCCTGCAGACGCTTCTTGGGTTGACGACTTGGCTACGCAGCAATCGTCACAGGGTTACACCTTCAGCCTTGACTCTAGCTCTATTTCTTGGCGGTCTACCCGCTCGTCTTCGGTTCTCAGTTCCAGTTGTGAGGCTGAGATCTACGCTGGGGCCATGGCTGCACAGGAGTTACGCTGGCTCACCTACCTACTGACTGACTTGGGAGAGCTGCCTCGTTCTCCTCCAGTTCTGTACGTAGACAACAAGGCCATGATTGCCTTGTGTCAGGAGCACAGACTGGAGCACAAAACGAAGCACATCGCTCTGCGTTACTTCCTTGCACGAGAGTTGCAGTAGTGTGGTCAGCTTTGTCTTGCTTACGTGGCCACTCGGTCCAACACCGCTGATATATTCACCAAGGCACTTCAGCCTGGTGACCATCAGCATTTCTGTACTGTTTTAGGCCTTGTGCCTACTTTGCCTCACTTGCTCACCCTGTGACTTTGCTTGTACTGTGATCTATATATATACCTGCATGCTTACATTTGCTAGGTAGTGATCAATGTACTCTTTGTTCTGCTTTGTATAACTCTGCATGTGAACTGACCTTGTGGCCATTTGCTTGTGCTCAGAGTGTGTGGTGACGTCGTGATCCACCCTGAGCTTGCTTTGCATTTTCTTGACTGGTCTTGTGACCCCTTGTTCTCCCCCACTTTGCCTATGGGGGTGTGTCAAACTGTTATACTGTTTATGTTGTGTAGGCTGTAGTGGGGTAGCTCATCAGAGCTACAACCCAATTAGGGTTAGTACTTGTACCAACTTCCCACTCAATGCATTCATTCTCGTTCAGTATTCTCACAAAAAATATATTATAGTGAGTTGCATGCTAGGGGGTACATGATTTCACTCGATACTCTCCTTGTACCTCTCCCCTTTGACCTAATTCTATCACTTGCGCTATGTAACTCTTGAGAGATCTGGCATCCTCAACAGGCCCTCGGATTCATTTTTGGGCTGTGTGATTCGTCAGAATTAGTACACATATTTTGTCTGATCAATCTGACTTGGTACCAAAAAAAAAAGCTGAAATTTCATAGTTAAATCGTACAAAAGTCTGATAAAGAAAGTTCACATCTGTAATAAAGGTGATCGATCTGTCAAACTATAATGCTGCTTATGTTGTGTAGGCTGTAGTGGAGTAGCCTATATAGGGTAAAACCCAATTAGGGTTAGTACTTGTACCACATTTCTGATCAATGCACATATTCCTGCTCGTTAGTTTATGACATGGTTTCAGAGCAGTAGGTCCGTAGGACCGTTTTTTTCGGGCCCACCATTACCTAGTGACCGACTGCGGTTACCGCGTTACCCCATGCCCTGCCCTGCTCTGCGCCGTCAGCGCGCGCCCTGCCCTGCCCTGCCTTCCGTCGCGTTGCCCCGCGCACGCCCTGCCCTGCCCCGCGTCGCGCTGGCCCGCGCACGCCCTGGCCTTCCCCGCGTCGCGCTGCCCAGCGCACGCCCTGCCCTGCCCCGCATCGCGCTGCCCCGCGCACGCCCTGCCCTGCCCCGTGTCCTGCTGCAGCCCGCGCCATGCTGCCCTGCGCGTCGCGCCCTGCTGCAGCCCGCACGTCGCGCCCTGCTGCCCTGCGCGTCGCACCCTACGGCAGCCCGCGCGTCGCGCTCTGCTGCCTCGCGCATCGCGCTCTGCTACAGCCCGTGCGTCGCGCCCTACTGCCCCGCGCGTCGCGCCCTGCTGCAGCCCGCGTGTCACGCCCTGCTGCCCCGCACGTCGCGCTCTGCTGCAGCCCGCGCATCGCGCCCTGCTGCCCTGCACAGCGTGCGCCTTGCTGCCCGTGCCACCCAGGCCGAGCCGCCCCGCCCAGCCCGAGCCGCCCTGCCCAACCCGACCCGCCCTGCTGCTCGTGCTACTCCTACTGCTGGTGGAGGTGCCGCAGCCTAGCCTCATCGAGCCGCTCTGCTGCTCTTACATCTGCTGCTGTTGCTACTCGTGCGACTGCCTTCCCTCCGTACTGCCCTAATGGTCGCGTGCCTCCTTGCTTGCCCGCTATGACTTCACTTCGTAGTAGCGGTGGGAGTGGTGACGGCGGTGGTGGCAGCAGTGGGAGTGGTGGTGGCCGTAGTAGCAGTCGCTGTGGAGCTGTTCGGTGGGGAGTTTCTGGCAGTGGCCAGATGCAGCTGGAGTGGCGTCCGCGCGAGGCCCTTACGCTTCAGTAGCTTCGTGAGTGGTACGCCAGTAGGTGTGGTGGCGGTGGTCGTAGTAGAAGTCGCGGTGGAGCTGTTCAGTGCGGAGTTTCTGGTGATGGCCAGATGCAGCTGCAGCAGCGTCCGCACGTGACCCTTATGCCCCAGCAGCTTCATGAGTGGTACGCTCAGAGTGGGGGGGCTTGGAGTACTGTCCGCTGCCCGTACGTCATTCACACAAGTGATCGGGCTGGTCAGACTTGCGGGAATCTTGGTCACACACAGGCTCGCTGCTTCGCCTGTCTTAGCGACGCCTGGCATGCAGTGTTTGGCGACGAGGCTGAGCTCCCCCGCTGGCTAGAGCTGCTTCGGAACAAGGTGGATATCTTTGGTCTAGACTATGACACTATCCTCACTGCCATGTATGCTTTGACTATTAGTACTCAGACTGACTGTTACCTGTGTGTGCCGCGTGATCCTCGTATAGCGGCTACTGCTTTAGGTGTTGGTGAGTCTGCTCTAGGTGCTGGTGAGTTTGCTCTAGGTGCTAGTGAGTGTGCTCTCTCTGGTACTGCGCCTACTGAGGCCTTGCACACCTTCACGCTTGACTCAGGTGCTTCCCGCGGCATCCTTTGCGACAGCACCACAGTCACACCACTCGCAGCACCGGTTGCAGACTCTCTGGCTGACCCCTCTGGGGGACCGGTTTGTGCACGTTCGTCCACTGTTCTCTCGTGTCTGGCGGTTCCGTCTGGCTCACTGTCAGGTCTTCACATCCCCTCGTTCTCTACGAACTTGGTGAGTAACGCCATCCTTCAGGATACTTGGGTTGATACCTTTATCCCTGGAGGACAGCGTGTGGCGATCTGCACGTGTGCATGGACGGGCCATCTTCTGGCCACGTTCACCCGTCGGTCTGGGTCGAGCCTGTACACACTGACTACTGAGCCTCCTCAGGTAGCTGCGTCTGCGTCCGCGTCAGGTCAGCTAGCAGCCCCCTGTTCGCGTTGCCTCCTGTCGCACCAGACTCTCCTTTGGCACCACCGCCTAGGTCACCCCTCCCTGCCACGCCTCCGTGGCATGCACTCTCGCCTCCTTGTCTCTGGTCTTCCCAAGTCTCTGCCTCCCCTCCGACCCTCGCCTGCCCCTCCCTGCCTTCCCTGTGTCGAGGGGCGGTAGCGCGCCGCTCCTCACTCCTCCTCGTTTCCCCCGACGACTGCTCCCCTGCAGACTCTCCACATGGAAGTGTGGGGCCCAGCCCGCGTCCAGGGACAGGGACGCGAGCGATACTTTCTGCTGGTTGTTGACGACTACTCGCGTTACACCACGGTCTTCCCTTTGTGCAGCAAGGGGGAGGTCCCTGAAGGTTTGATCCCTTGGATCCGCGCTGTCCGTCTCCAGCTCCGCGAGCGGTTCGACACGGACCTTCCGTGCACTCTGACAGAGGTGGTGAGTTCTCATCCGACCTCTTGCGGGACTTTTGTCATGGGGAGGGCATCCTCCAGTCGTTTAATGCACACATTCCTGCTCGTTAGTTGATGACACGATCAGCCTGAAACGGGGAGATAACCTCACCACAGCACTGCTGTCACTGTTTCAGCGTGACTGACACGACAAATTTGTACTTCCAACGCTAATCGCAGCTGTCAGGTCAGAGTAGGCACCCGCTAGAGCGCTCGTGGGATCAGAGCACATTCCCGGAAAACTCTGAAATTTCAGATTTGAGGGCCTAAAAACTCTTACTTTTACGGAGTACAAATCAGAGAAAAAAGTCTGACTTCTGAGGGCCAGATCCTCAGGCCAACGAAAGGTGACAAGTCTGACCAATCAGACAACTCTAAGATGAGTATGAGACTCTGAGGCCCTACCGGACTTGTTAATGGTGGTATTTGAGATTATAGTGGTTTTTTAATATTACATACTGGGCATGTCTACAGATACCGGTAGATGCAATCAGAATTCGCTTCACGTCCAGACCAGGCTTTCCTTGTGTCAGATACCTAAACGAGAGGTGCCAAACCAGTTGACTTCTCATCCAAGCCAACCCAACTCGAGCTACGTGCCAAGAAATTTCTACCAGTAGTTACCTAGTACCTACCTACCTACTGTAGTATCCCCCTTCATCCCTGCCCAAGCCTCCCAAACCTGATCCTCTCTTCAGCCCGCAACACATCCGTATCGATCTCCCTGGACCAATCAGGGAGCTCCCTGTGGCCCAGGAAGTGCACCATAGCCCCGATGATGCGGGGATCTCGGAAGTACGCCCCGTGGTTGAGGTCAAAGCGCCCCGTCAGCTCGCCAAAGCGCTCCTCGATCATCACACACAGCTGCTTCACCTGCATGCGGGAGGGGAGGAGGGGGAGGGGGAGGAGGAGACACGGATGAGGTGAGCGAGGGGAGAATGGTGAATCACAACTAGGGCTCCTTTGTGCCACCTCTTGAGGCGTTGAGGAGAAAATGGAGGGTAGAGAGAGGGGAGTGAGTGACCTCAGTGCTTACAGAATGTTCACACCCGAAACATGAACCGCGAGGGGCAGTGAGGCTCGGAGAGATTGGCGTGACTCAGCGAGGAGGATGAACGGCGTGGCACCTCCCCACCCCTCCCACCCTTTTGAGGCGCCTCAAAAACTCCCTCCCACCCTTCATCAGAACCAATGGCTTGTTGAAAGCGGTTGTGTACGACTGGGCCTCGTCATTTGTGGTGACCTTTCATGCGCGCGCCAGCACACACTTATGCCATGGCGTGCAGCTGCGGGCGCAGCAGCATGCATGACCGCTGCTGCCTCACCTGTCTGTCTGGCTGCTGCCTCACCTGGCGCACGCACTCCTGGTCGGAGAGGCGGGGGTTGTGGGTGATGGCGTGCAGCTGCGGGCGGAGCAGCGTGTACGTCTCTGACTCGCGCGCGGCTGCCTCCAGCACAGCGTCGTCCCACAGGAACTCGTATGCCAGCCGCTCGCCCCTGCCGCCACTGCCAGCCATGGACCCCATGCCCTTCTCCTCCATTCCCTGCTGCAGCTCATGTTGCTGCTGCTTGCCTTTCATCTCTTCATGTGCACCCCCCACAGAGGCCCCTCTGGAACCATGTGGTTGAGAACTGCCCAACCCCCCTGTCCATGCCGCACTTCCACCTCCCTCTGCACTCACCCCTCCCCCTGCTCGCTTTCCCTTGCCGCCACCCCCTTCCGCATCCCCTTCCTCGCCCCCCTCGTCACCGCCCTCCTCTCTATGCTCCCCCTGTCGCAGCGACCGCTCTGTGAACGTCACGCGCCGTCGGAAGCGGCTCAAGCTCCGCATCGACCTTCCTGCTGCCCTGCCCTCCTCTCCCTCCCCTGCTGCTGCTGCCACTGCATGTTTCTGGGTGGCACCAGGCGGCTCCCCTAGCGCACCTGACAGCCCCGCTCGCGAGTCAGAAGGCTCAGCTCTATGCATACAATCCTCTTGCTGTGGTCTTAACGCACCTGCCTGTATCGAGTCCATCACTGTACTCCCTTCACCCTCACCACCCGCTCTTTCGTCAGCGTCCCCTTGCCTCCTCACTCTCACCTCCCTCTCTTCAACCTCCTCTTCATCCTTTCTCCCCTCCACCCTCCCCTCTCTTCCAATCAACCCCTCTGCACTTACCCCTGTCGCAGGTACCTTTTTCCCGGTTATGCCCTCTTGAGGAACCCCCTCTTCAGGTAGCCCGTCCCCAAATAGAGCCTCCCCCATGTCACACGTGTCGTCCTCATACCCTTCCATCAGCTCGCCCTGCAGCGACCTCGTCTTGGCCAGCGCCAGCAGTTTCTGACAAGGCGCGGAGAGAGGGGAGAGAGGAGGGGTAGCAGGAGCAGGCAAGAGAAGAATTGATGATTTCCTTCAAAGAAACGAGGAGGAAGAAAGAAAGTGAGTCAAAAACTTTGAGATATAAAAAAAAGGTTCATTGATGCAAACGCTGCAGCGTTGCACCCAGCGTGGTGTATGGCGCCATGTGAGCGCACCTGCACGTTCCAGTGTTCCACGTTCTGCAAGGCGAACCCCAGGTTGAGGCGCTCGTCCACAAACACACTGGCGAAGCTCAGCTCCTTGGGGGACAGCCCGAAGCTCACCGTCACGATCACGTTGCGCACCATTGAGATTATCAACGGCGCCAGCACACGCGACAGCAGTGCTACAGCCAATGCGGGCAGGATGAAGATTATGTTCCACATGAGAATCCGGGCAGTGTTGCTGATGTAAAGCGTCCATTCGGAGCATTTTCTCGTGACTGGGCGGCGGGGGAGGGCTTTCCAGAAGGGGAGTTTGAGCATGGAGGCTAGTTGCGGAAAGATGTAGGCACGGGCGATAGGCTCGGTGGAGAGCGCCAGACTGGCTTCGTCTAATTTGCCGGCGTGGATGACGAGTGCTGACATGGCATGCGACCAATCAAAGCCGGGCGAGTGGTAGATGTTGCCGCTGTAAAAGGCAGTGCTGCGCCAGAGCTGGTGAGAGCGACGAGCAGGGGGCAGAGAAGGATGAGGGGAGAGCTGAGGAGGGAGAGAGAAGGGAAGAAGAGACGGGTTGAGGCGAGCAAGAAAGAAGACGGAAGAGGGTGCGGCGAGAGTGATGTGTAATGGGTTGTGTGGGTGTGGAGAACGGTGCAGGAGAAGAGGTGGGGTGGTGGTGGTGGCAGGGAAGGGAGAGGCGAGTGGAGTAGAGAAGAGGGAGACGAAGGAGAAGAGGGAGACGAAGGAGAAGAGGGAGACGAAGGAGAAGAGGGAGACGAAGGAGAAGAGGGAGACGAAGGAGAAGAGGGAGACGAAGGAGATGGAGAGGGGGAGGAAGGAGACTTTCGAGAAATAAAATGAGGCCGCCCGTACCCTGAGTGTGGTTTTCATTTGAAGAGCACGGGCATACAATGACATCATTGAAGAGCACGGGCATAAAAATGCACTGCTATAGGATCACACGCACCTCCAGTGCCACACTGACGATGGCAAAGACGAGAACAGCCGCGGCGAGGGAGAATGGGAGGTAGTTGGGAGTGGCGGCTCTGATGCCATGCGAGGGGGGCATGGCATGGCGGCGAAGGGGGAGAGAAGGGTACAAGGGATAAAGAGAGGGTTGTGAAGCGAGGAAATGGTTGAAGGGATAAGCAAAAGTCCTAACCCGCCCCAACCAATCGCTCCTTACGAGTTCACTATCAAACCCCAGCATGTTCAAACTCCCTGCACCCCCACCATGTGCAAGCTCGCCTGCAATGGCAAGGCAAGCACAATCACCCGCCACAGCAGCACGTAGCCCCACATGACCACGAACGCCACAACCATACGGTGGTGGCGAGCACAACCAACCATCACGCGCACGTGTGCATCATACCTTGAGAGCTCGCCTGCAATGGCCAGCACCACGAGGCGCCACAGCAGCACGTAGCCCCACATGACCACAAACGTCACCCCCACGGACACGGCGGTGGTGGCGAGCAGCAGCAGCATGCCGTGGCGCTGCCAGCTCTTCATGTAGAACGGCGTCCCCAGGAACACCAGCGCCCCCAGCGCGTTCGACAGCGGGCTCGTGGCCAGGCGGTGCGCCAGGAAGAGGCGCTGCCGCTGCGAGGGCAGGCGGAGCAGCGAGTCGAGCCAGCGGTAGCGCGCCCACGGGTACTGCTCCTTCACGCTCCCCTCCCTCCTCCCCGCCATGCTGCGCCCAAGGGAACACGGGGGAGGGGGAACGGGGAAAAGTGGGGTGGGAGAAGGGGGAAAAGAAGGGGCGGAGAAGGGGGAAAAGAGGGTGCGGAGAAGGGGGAAAAGAGAGAGGGGGGGAAGGTGGGAAAGAGGGGACGGAGAAGAGGGAAAAGAGGGGAAGACGAAGGGAGGAAAGGGGGGCGAAGAAAGGAGAACAGAAGGGCGGAGAAGGAGGCTGGAGCAACGAAGACAGGAAAGAACTTTTCCTCGGTGGCGGTAGCAGTGGCACGAGACGGGCGTTCTCTCTCCCCTCCATTGCACGTGCTGCTTCATGCCCCGCCATGCTGCATGCACGCATGGGGGCGACAGCACTTTCGGGGGACGGCAGTGTGAAGACATGGGGAGGTGGGCACATACATGGATGGGTGGGTGGGTGGGCTGGGACGTGGATGGGGGAACGGGGGCGTTGGGGCGTGGGAGCGTGGGCGCATGGGGATGGTGGGGCAAGCAAGGAGGTGCCAAAAGAGTTTTTGGTTCACGCCTGCGCTCACAGCAGAGAGAGGGAGCACCAGGGAAGACGAGGGGAGGTAGAGGAGGATGGGGAAGGTAGAGTTTCTACAGCGGGGAGAAGTGAGGGAGGGGAGGGGCGGGGAGTGAGGGGAAGGGAGGGAGGGGAGGGAGGGGAGGGCGAGTGAGCAGCATACCTCCTCTTGACAACAAGGAAAGGGAAGAAGCGCCACAAGGTGTTGGAAACATCCGGCTTCCGCCAGTGGCGAATCAAATCGTATCTGCTCTTGTATGCCGCCCAGAATCGATGGAGGACAGGTGGCGGGAGGTCCGACACAGCCTTGCTCCCCTGGCGCTTCATGTACTGCGGTGCGGTGTGCGACAGGGGGACAGGGGGACAGCGGGTGGGGGAGAGAGGAGACAGAGGGGAGCGAGGAGGAGGCATTGAATTCAAAGGGCAATGGAAACGGCGATGATAAGAGGGAAATCGAAGGAAAATGGAGCCAGTTGACCACCCGGGCTTTAAGCACTCACGAGCTCGATGGCTTTAAGCAGCACTCACGATCTCGATGGCTTTAAGTAGCACTCACGAGCTCGATGGCTTTAAGCAGCACGTTGCCTCCGTGGGAGTGGGCGATGACATGGATGCGCGCCGAGGGGTCGCCGTACGTTATCACGTCCAGCAGCCGCGCCAGCTGTGGGGGGACGAGCGAGGGAGAAGGGGGCGGGGGGAGATGGTGGGGGGAGATGGTGGGGGAAGATGAGGTGCGGAGATGGGGTAAGAGGGGTCGCTGTGTGTTATCACATCCACAGCTGGTGCGCCTGCTGTGGCGGGGAGAATGGGGGCGGGCGAAGAGGGGGAAGATGAGAGGGAGGGGGGAGATGAGGGGGAGTGGGGAGATGAGGGGGAGGGGAGAGATGAGGGGGAGGGGAGAGACGAGGGGGAGGGGGGAGATGAGGTGGGGCGAGGTTGAGGGAGAGAGGGTAAGAGGGGTCGCCGTGCGTCTTAGGTCCAGCAGGCGCGCCAGCCGTGGCCGCGAGTGTTGCGGGCGAAGGGAGAGTGGGGCGACAGGGGGAGGGGGTGGGGGGAGAAAGGAGAGGAGGAGGAAAGGTAGGGGGTAGAGAGCGGGGGAGAGACGGGGAGAACGGGGAGGGAGGGGGGGAGAAGGGGGGAAACGGGGGACGAGGGGGAAGAAGGGAGCCTACGGGGGAAAGGTGGAAGAGAAGGGCAGGCGGGGGGGAAAGGGAGATAGGAGAGAATGAAGCACGGAGTCAATGCAAGTGTGTTGAGTGATGCTTCCAGGTGTTGAAGGTGGCGGGTGCGAGGGAGGGGGAGAACTGGACAAGAACACGAATTTGCGATGTAGTTGGGCAACTCAGAGGGAGGAAGAGAATGCAGGGGCCATCTCATCTGGAAATAAGTACGCGCGTGGATCACTATGATTTGCTCTAGGGTATCGTAGTTGGTAACTAGCGTAACAACCTTGTGCGCGGCGTCGATGCGTCCTTCATGCGTGTTCGTGCCGTCCCAGTGAAACGGATACGGAATGCGGAGTCGCGCCGGCGGCTCCGCCGGCAGCTCGCGCCACACGCATCCGCCGCCTAGCGGCCCCTCCGCGAGGCGCGCCCCAATCTTGCTGCAAAAGTTGATTTCGCCGGGCGCCGCGGGCTGGTACCACGTGCGCGACCCGTCGTCCGGGGGCGCGTCGAACGTGCCGTGGATGACGATGACGTAGTGCGTCTCGCGCGACGCGTCGAACGACACCGTGCGACAGCTCCCTGGGGCCTCGGGGTCCACATCCTCGTCATTAGATCCTCCGGTAAAGGGCTTGCGGAGCTTGCAAAACGGACCGTTACATGATGCTAGATAACAGCACCCGCAATTGTTATCCAGGTCTGTTGCCGCTTCATCAAATGGCAGTTCATTGGCCGCTGTTTCAACGGCTGACGGAGACGCGAGCGCTCTCTTTTCATGACTGGCAGCGCGGCTGTTCTCCATTTACGATCATTTCCGATACTAACAAGCATCGTTTGGATGAAAATGAGGCGATGTCTAAAGCTTGTTGGGACTTCTCGTCAGATTTGTGCTCTTCTCGTCAACCCCAACCGTTGCAAATGGGGGTGTGCCCTGCTCTGTACATTCCACCACCAACTCCGTCTGTTCTGTGCGCCAAAACAAAGGCCCAGAGGTTCTTGACTTCATGCTATGTACAAGGTGTGTTAAGTTATTGTTACGGGTGCAATGAATCGAAGTAGCGAGAATTGCACTAAGGTGTCAAACGAGTACAAAGTGTGAGCGAAGGCATGAGCGAACATTTATACGCGAAACATGCAAACGGTAACGCGGTGCGTGCGAGCTAGCTAGTGCTACGCTGGAAACGAGGCTCGGGCTAGCCCCGAAGCGTAGGCCGACACGGCCAGGCCAGCAGTGCGAGGTTTGGTGAAACAGTGCGCACGGAGTCGGCGAAGCCCCGTTAGCAGTAACGGGCGAACAATGGCTGTTGCTGTACGCGATGTAGTCGGGCTCCGTAAGGAATGCCGAGAAAATTCCTTACACTACCCCCCCCCTCAAGAAGCCCCCTCCGCTACGCGAGTGCGTGTATATCGCGGAATCCCCGGCTCCTCAGGTACACTTGCAGGGCAGGGTGGTTTTCGATGTTGGCCAGGGGCACCCAGCTGTCCTCAGTTGGCGTGCGATCCTTCCAGCGGACGAGGAATTCAATCCTCTTGATTCCCGTGGGGTGTCGAATCCGATGGCTCAGGATTTTTTCGGGCGCGATGATCGGCTCCGATGCAGGGCGAGTCATGGATGGCGGGCGGTGGCGAGGCAGTTGGCTTGTGGTTGGGATGTAGAGGCGAAGCAAGCTGACGTGGAACGAAGGGCTGATGTACCAGTCGGTCGGTAACAGTAGGTGCGCAGTTACTGGCGTGATCATGTGGCTGATTTGGAATGGGCCACAGTAGCGCGGTCGGAGTTTTGGTACGTCGGGCAGTCGCAGATTTTGCGTGTCGAGTAGTACGTAATCCCCTGACTGGTATGTGACTGGGCGGCGGTGGCGGTCAGCGTTGCGCTTAGCGATGATGTTTGCTTTTTTTATTGCTTCTGCGGCTCTGGTGCGGGCAGCTTGCAGAATTTCGGCGAATTGCTGTGCACGTGGTGTTGGGTTGTCCGGACTCGGCGTCATGGGCACTGTAGGGTTTTGCCCGTAGTTCAGGTAGAAGGGGGACTGCTGCGTCGTCGTTGACGTGGCATTGTTGTACGCGAACTCGATCAGCGGCAGCTGCTGCTCCCAAGTCGTGGGGTCATCGCAAGTGGCACGAATCAACTGCTCCATCGTCTGATTCGTCCGCTCCGTTTGACCGTCGGACTCGGGGTGGTACGACGAACTGAACTGTAGCCTGGTCCCGAACTGCTCCCAGAGATTTTTCCAGAAGTTGCTGGTAAACTTCGTGTCCCTGTCGCTGATAATCGCTGCTGGTATCCCGTGCAGGCGAACAACGGCTGCGATGAACAGACGAGCGGTCTCCTCGGCTGAGATCGACTTTTTGCACGCAGCGAAGTGTGCCATCTTCGTCAGCCTGTCAACGATGACCATCACCGCGTCGTTACCCCCAGGGTTCGAAGGTAACCCTGTGACGAAGTCCATGGTAACCTGCTGCCAGGCGCGCTCGGGCGGTGGTATTGGCTGCAATTGACCCGCCTTCTGCTTCCTCGAACTTTTCATCACCTGACACGTGGGGCACGAGCCCACGTTCTGCTGTACGTCGGTCAACAGCTCCGGCCAGTAGTAATACCGCTGCAGTTGATGTCGCGTTTTTTCTACCCCAAAATGTCCCGAGGTAATTCCGTCATGTGCCTCCTGCAGTAGCAGCTCCCTCAGTAGTGAGTACGCGGGTACCCAGATGCGGTTGGTGCCTGTTTTTACGTAATAAACTCCTTTAGCTTCTGCCAGTTGCTGTGAGTTTCCAGTCGTGAAAAATGGGTCGGTGCGGTATCCGTGGGTGAATAGGCCTGTTAAAAGCGGGTTGGTCTGGGCGAGTAGGATGGCGTGGAGTTGGGCGGTAGGGCAGGTGAGTGCGTCGGCGATGTTGGAGGTGCCTTTCTTGTACGTAACCGTGTAGTGGAAGTTGGACTCGAGGTAGTCCAACCAGCGAATCTGTCGCGGGTTGAGATTTGGTTGGGCACGTAGGTACTGTAGTGATCGGTGGTCTGTCCGTACTGTCACGTCGGCGCCCGTCAGGTAACACCGCCAAACCTTGAACGCGTGCACGATCGCCAACATTTCGCGGTCGTGTATCGGGTAGTTGCGTTCGGGCGGGTGCAGCTTGCGGGACTCGTACGCGATTGGCTGGAGGCCGTTCCCGAAATCCTGCAACAGTACTGCTCCCACAGCGATGTCACTTGCGTCGGTGACGAGCTCGAACGGACGGTGTGGATCTGCGATGTGAAGCACGGGCGGTGAGCACAAAATGTTTTTGAGGGCCGAGAAGGCAGCTTGCTCTTTCTCCCCCCACGTGTACTCAACCCCCTTCCTCAGCAGGTCGGTCAACGGGGCAGTCAGCTTCGCCATGTCGGGGACGAACCGGCGCACGTAGTTGACGAACCCCAAAAAACTCTGCAACTCGGTCAAGTTGGTCGGCGCGTGCCATGCTTGAATCGTCGCAATTTTCTTCGTGTCTATTTCCACTCCTGCAGCTGAAATAACGTGTCCCAAAAACTCCAGGCGATCCTTGAAAAATTCACACTTAGACGCTTTTGTCAGTAGGCGGTTCTCACTCAGTATTTGAAAAACTGCTTCGATGTCCTGTAAGTGCTGTGCTCTGTCAGGGCTGTAAATCACTATGTCGTCCAGGTATACTATGACGCACTTATCTAAGAGCGGGCGGAAAACTTCGTTCATGGTCATTTGAAAAGTGGCGGGGGCGTTGGTCAGTCCGAAAGGCATGACGGTGTATTCGAAGGATCCGTAGCGTGTGCGGAATGCGGTCTTAGGGCAGTCGGGCGGGTTGACGCGAATCTGGTGGTAACCCCCTCGGAGGTCGATTTTCGAGAAAACCCGGGCTGTGCGCAGTTGGTCGATCAGTTCGTCGGCTCGCGGGATGGGGTAACGGGATTTGATGGTGACCCTTGTCAAGCATTATATATGTTGTGCTTGTTTAGGCTACAGTGGGTTAGTCTATAGGGGGTACACAATTCTAGGGTTAGGTACTTGTACTCATTTCACTGTTATTTCCACCATTCCTGTTTGTTCATCTCAACATGGTATAGAGCAGGTCCTTCACTAGGACCGTTTTTAGGGCCCACCACTACCTACCTACCTACCTACCTACTACGCCCTAGGGCGCCTCGTGCTTCACTAAGGCCCCGCGACCCGCCCCTTAGCGACCTACGCGCCGCCCCTTAAGGCCCCGTCGGCCCACGCGCTAGCCCCTTAGCGACCCCGTCGGCCCCGCGATCGCCCCTAACGGCCCCGTCGGCCTCGCGCTCACCTCCCTAGAGGCCCCCCGTCGGCCCCGCGCTCGCCCTTAGCGGCCCCTTACGGCCTCGCGCTCGCCCCTACAAGCCCCGAACGGCCCCGCGCTCGCCTTTAGCGGCCCCTTACGGCCCCGCGCTCGCCCCTAGAGGCCTCGAACGGCCCCGCGCTCGCCCCTAGAGGCCCTGAATGGCCCCGCCAGAACGAGCCGCACGAACCGAGCCGCCCAGCCCGAACCGAGCCGCCCAGCCCGAACCGAGCCGCCCGAACCGAGCCGCCCAGCCCGAATCGAGCCGCGCCGCCCTAACCGAGCCGCGCCGCCCTACCTGAACCGAGCCGCGCCGCCCGTACTGGACGGAGCCGCCCTACCTGAGTCGCACTGCCTACTGTTTCTGGGGTGCACCTACTGCTATTACTGCTACTCTACTGTTACTCCTACTACTGCTATGGCTAGCCCTCCTGTGCTAGCTTTCGATACTGAGGGCCGCCCAGTGAGGTTCGAAACCTGGCTAGATGACCTACACCTCTTCCTACAGCTCACTGCCAAGGAGGACATCTCACTGTACGATCACGCCCTAGGCCATGCTACTGCTCCTGCTGCTACTGCTGACAGCACCACCCGCTCACAGTGGCAGACTCGTGACGCCCACGCTCGCTTCGCTATTCGCAACTCCCTGCCGATAGATGAGCGCGAGCACTTTGGGCAGCACAAGACTGCACAGGCACTGTACACTGCTGTCGTTGCCCGCTACTCCTCACCGGCCTCTGCCGCACTAGGCCGTCTCTCTCTTCCCTACCTGTTCCCCGACTTAGCCTCTTTCCACACAGTCGCTGACCTCATTACGCACCTCCGCACTAGTGAAGCTCGCTTCCGCGCCGCCATGCCTGATGAGTTCCTTGCCAAGAACCCACCCCCGCTCTGGCTCACTCTCTACCACCTAGTCACCCGCCTCCCTGACACTCTGCGCTCAGTCAGGGACCACTTCCTAGCTCGCTGCCCCACTGAGCTCACCATTGCCCTCCTCGAGAAGGAACTCCTTGCAGCTGAGGCTAGCATAGTCGCTGTAGGTGCCTCTTGTGGCGACCCCCGTACCCCGTTCTTTGAGGGGTGTTCTCCTTCCCCCCTTCTTCCCTCTGTCGCCTCTGCTGCTGCTGTCGACCTCCTTGGTGCTGAGAAGGTCGTGACTGCGTCTGCTTTGAGCGGGCGCCGCAGCGGCAAGGGCAAAGGGGGCAAGGGCGGTGGCGGTGACAGCGGGGGAGGCGGTGGTGGGGGCGGTGGCGGTGGTGGGGGTGGTGGCGCGACTGGAGGGGCTAGTGGCAGCGGTGGGGGTGGTGGCGGCAGCGGCGGGGGAGGTGGCAGGGGCGGAGGCGGTGGTGGGGGTGGCAGTGGACGCGGCGGCGGCAGGGGTTGGGGTGGTCGAGGAGGTGGCAGCGGCGGTGGTGGTCGTGGAGGCGCTGGCGGTGGCCAGGGCCAGCAGCACACTCCGTCGCCCCAGGAGGTCCGTGAGTGGTACTCTCAGCACGG